TTCGGGGACGATTTAATTACAATAATCACAGCATTACGCCCGGTTCCTGGTACCAGCGGTGAGTCCACCGTGACTTATTCCACGGGGAAGACTAATCACTTTTTCTAAATCGAGGACAGGATCGCCTTGAACGCCTCCCAAAACGCTTAGTTTTTTTCAATGTTTGATGAGTGTGACGGAATGAAACAATTTGCCATTTCCGACTCAATTTTACGATGGGGAAAAAATTTTTCAACATTGTTGTTAACGTTAATTTTTTTTGAAAGAAAATTAATTCCTTTCCAAAGCATAAATCAATCCGGGAGAATTTAGGTGATCGCGCACAACGAGCCGAAGTTATCGCGAAGACGAGCAAGCGTTATAGGTTAGGTCGAATTGTTTACTCGATTTTTCATCATGCTTCATCGCCTCGAAGGGCTGGGGAAATTAATTAAAGTCAAACAAGGCTAACTGCCTGGCAAGCAGGTTAACTGCTTGCCATTGTCGAGAAAACGTGATAGTTCGACAAGCGGAGGCCAAAAGGATATAATGAAACAACTGTGAAATTATTATGGACGGTGTATAAGACTTTTGCTTTATGCGAAACTCTTTCCAAACAAGTCATTCATCGACAAGGAGCGTTGGAAGCTTATAAGGGCTGAAATGTTTATTTAGTGTAAATACTTGTATGGTAAAATTAAATGGTTAATGTTTATTATTTTGTAGCGACAGTGAATTATGTTAAGGATAATTTTACGTGAAATTCAATAGAGGGAGGAAAAAATAAAGCGAAACGAAAAATCTATTTTTGACGAATATTTATCCGTAATAATTATATAGTTAGAGAATACGAGAAAAATTTCTTATAAGCTTTTGTATAGATAATTACGAAAGAATGGCATGTTGGTGTATCTATATTTTATGTGTAATTCAAACGAGGAGAGGAAAACAAAATTAATAATCAATTTTTCACAAATATTTACTTCGTGATAATGCTACATTTTCATGAAAGGAGAAAAATTGAAAACTGAAATTTTGCGATTTCTACGTAAAATAAATCGTTATAAAGAATTTCATAAATTGTTTAAAACGATTTTCGTTATTATCGATATTAATATTAATGGGATAATAAATAATTCGTAGATAAAATATATGAAGAAAAAATCTAATAGGATGAAATGGGTAATTCAAAAAATTATCAAGTTAATTGTATTTCAATTTCATTTCTATTTCCAATCGAATAACAATATTTAAATATACATTAGAATAGACTAGGGCGATAGTGTATTCTTTTATATTTCCCCTTTTTTTTTCTTTTTTTTTCTTTTTTTTTTTTTTTTTTGGTTATAACTACGCGCTAGCACGTACATTCTTTCCCAACACATTCAAACACGCTAATTCTATTATCGAAACACACATATTACGTATTATTTTTATATATTAAGGAAGACAAAATTTATATAAAACGATAAAAAAATTTAGGCACAAAAATTTGTTAAGAACTTTTAGAAAGTATAATTAAATTATTCTTACATTCTTTCTATACAGATTGCTTAGAAAACTTCGATTGTAAGAAAAACTCATGCTGAATTAACTTCAGAATTTCTACTTCGTTAAGTTATTCTATCTAATCTTAATCAATTAATTATCAATTTTAAACAAAAAATACAAATATCAAATATTCGATTTTTTATGAAAGCTTATATATTTCTAGTGAAACATAATTTCGATATCTCTATTTTACAAATTAAACATATTTAATTTCCTTCATATTTCCTTAAGAAAATCTCAAAAAATTTAGAAAATTTTCTTCAAAATCATTTTACACTTTTGTTTTCATTCTAAACGAGTATCGTTGGATCGAAAGTGACTAGAACAATTTATAAATCGATTTAAGTCAATTAATTTCAATTACAAATGATACTTAACGCTTCGAAATGTGTTGTGCCTGTGTGTTATATATATATCAACGATATGCGAATTGTTTTACGTTCATATACTACAATTAAAACTAGAATTAAACTTCTTTCGTTCAACTTGCTTAGATTAACTTACCTAGAAATTCTTTCTTTTTACAATTACAATGAAATCGATCGAGATCTAAAAACTCAAAGATCAAAATTTTGAGATCAATCTTCGTTAAATCGATCTTATTATTGCGTGCCCTTAAATTAATGGTAACGTGTGTTGGAATTGCCTTTGAATGAGAAAGAAAGAGAGAGAGAGGGCGTTAAAGTAAAAGGGCCCCCGAGAAAAGGAAAACATTGAGGGCCCCTCCTCGCCTCGCGACAACTTCGTGTCAGGTATATATATATATATATATAAAGCGTACGTGTATGTACAAGATGTGGGTGGTCCACGAGGCGAGAAGAAGCGGGACCTTTTTTTTCTCCTAGATTAAACGACAATAAGAGAGAGAGAAGGAAGATAGAAGAAAAGATCTTTGGGACTACTTACAGGTCACACTGGTGAAGAGAAAGGTGGCGCACGGACAACTACCGGGAGATGTTGGCCTTTTTATCTGATGTGGAATTCCTAATTTTTGAAGGAAAAATAGTGGCGATGGTGGCTTACACACGGAAACTCGATTTCAACCTCGATAGAGGAAAAACATGTTGCGGCTTCCTGGGACTGATCGTTGTCTACTCCTTGGAGTGACCAATTATTTTGACGCCTTTAGAGATACAGTGACGCCTCGTTATTCGTAGAAATACGTTATTGTAGAAAAGTTTGGAAGTAATCGTATTTTTTGCACGGAAATGTGAGAAATGTGAGAAAAAAAAATATGAAAATAAAAATAATCAAAAATTTGTTTTGGAGTGGTCATTTCGATGAAATAAAAATTGGTTTTTTTGACTTGTACTCATTTGACATATTGTCGCTGTCTTTATTTCATTTCCCTTGGTTATTCGACAAGCTTTGGTTATAATAAATAATTTAACTCGTAATTCCTTTGACATTAGTTTTTTATGTTTAAAATTCCTGGATGCTTCCAAACTTTCGAGTCGCGAAATTTGCAACGATACTCTAATAACAATTGGTTTTTTACAATATGAAAATGCATGTAAAAATTCTAAAATTTTATGTAGAAATTTTTATACAGAGTATAAAGTAATTTGTAAGATCGAAAATTCAAATTCCAAATCCGAAATATGTTAATATTCTTAGAACAAAAGTGTTTGTGTTATACGAATATATTAAAAATAGAATACCTTTTTTTTTTTTTCAGTAGAAAATCTTTTTGCAAAATCAATCCCGAAATTTTCATAATTTTATTTTTTAAATACAATTTCATCTTGAATATTCTTTACAACGGAATAAGAGAGCATTGAATTAAAAAATTATATGTACTGATACGTATAAATACATTTCTGCTCTATCTTTCGCTTATACCATTCCAAAGTTATAAATTATAAAGTTTAAAATTATATTTAAAAAAAAAAAAGTAGAAAAAAATACTGAATACCTTGGAAGATTTGATTTCACGCTGTTCAAGTGACATTTTAAAAAGTAGAAAAATTGCTCTCTATATAGAATATTAATATATTCGTGAGATTCTTTTGAATATATAATAGATTTTAGAGATTAAAATCAGAGAGGATAATCAAAAGTATCGATTGAGGCTTATTTATGATATTATAATATAATTATAACAAAATATGAATTAGATGAAGCGAGGCAGTGACAAAGAGAGACAGATTCCTGTTACGTCATTTTGCCGCAGCGCGGCGCACCGTGTCATCCTCTTTCTATCTCGCTTTATTCATACAAACTTTTCCTAAATTACTCATAATAAACCTCGCTTATATTTTTGTGTTTAGCCGTTTTCGAAAAGTATGTATAACTCGTGTTATTTTTTTAATCGATCTTTAAATTATTTCTCTCGTAAAATAATAAACGTATCTATATCTTTCTTCGAGCATCGAGCAACTTTGAAAGGATCCAACATATTATGTTATACTCTGTACGTTGAAATTTTCCAATGTAAATGTTCAAACAATACACTTTTTGAATAAAATTTCGAGGCTACAGATAAGAATTTTACATATAACAATACTGCAGTGTGAATATTCAAAACGCAAATTGCAAATGATTATTCATTAGTTCAAAATTATTTATGAAAAAAGGAAGAAATTTTTATATAGCTATAGAATATTGTTTGAATATTCGAAATGCAGTTTACGATTGATCATTCAATCTATGAAAGATCGAATTTGTACATTACGCGTTAACAACGTGTTCAAGTGATCAATGGAAATAGAAACAGTTACGCTAGACAGTTTTTTTCGAAAGATTTTTGGTTCGAAACAATAAATTAGAAGTTCGTAATTCGTATGACTGTAACGATGATGATAATTTATCTACTTTCCGCGATGAATATTACATACAATGTAACATATTCGAGCAATTTAGCTACTATCGTACAATTACATATAAGTACAAGATTATTTACAAGTCGAAGGAAAGAGAGGAAAACGAAGGTGGTAAACTAAGTCGTCCCTCCTTCTTCGCAACATGAACAGCATTAAATTGAATAATTTAAGCGAGGAAACTATATTTACAACGCGAATTATACTACACTCGAAACCAGCGTGCTTCCTACGAAAATAATTATTTCTCGTTAAAAATAATTATTTCTATTCTCTATTTCTAATTTCGATCGAAGAATCTCATCTGCTCTAATACCGTGTGATCAATCCTCTCCGTGCTAATGCGATACGAAGTCAAAGTCAAAATCCAAATTTTCCGTCTCTTTTTTCTATAAATACAAGTAAAAAAGTGACGACTGCCCTCGTCGTAAAGTCAGTCTAAACGAAGCCATCTATTGGGAATATGTACTCTCTAAAAAGTACATATTTTTAAAAAATGGTGGTTAACACCAACTAATTAATACTGGATAATATTATAATATCGTGATATTATAATATTACGTAATACAAAACCACCTCTTAAGAGGGCGTTTTTTTAACGATCTACGCGAAAAACGAAGCACGCAGATTTCGCGGGGAAGCGCGAAAAGCGTTGTATCATCATAAAGTATTAAATTAAGCGCTTGGGGGGGATAAATTTTTTAACGTCTCATAATTTCCTCTATGCTAAATCCTAGTTTAGGGGTGGTGCTGGTCCTTTGAATCGGGATCAGCCCACTCACCCTATCCGCCATCTGCCTGACCGCCGTGGTGGCGATCTTCGCTTCCGACGCGACCGATCCCTCGATTCTCAGATCTTGGGGCACGTCCGTGTGCGTGAGAAGATGAGTCTTCAGATTGCTCCTTTGGTTGAAGCTTCTCGAGCAAACGGGGCATTTGTGAGGCGACTCCTCCATGTGTAGGATCTTATGAACCGCGAGAGTCCTGCTTTGACAAAATCCTTTCCCGCATTCGCTGCATTTGAAAGGCTTCTCCTTGCTGTGAATGTAGCTGTAAAAAATTAAATTGTGTTTAAAAAAACGGGTCTGGTTTCTTGGCCATCTTTCTTCTCCCCCATTTTTTCTCTCTCTCTTTTTACGTTCTTCCAGAATCGGATATAGAGATTTTGTTGAATTTTTTTTAGGGAGCAAAGGAGGAGGGGAAGGGGTTATTTTGATTGATTAATTTAAAACGATCGTTGTTTTGAGATTTCGTCGATCGATTGTGCGATCGAAACTGATAACTGCTTGGCAGATGTTTTTTACCGCCAAGGTGTGACTATTGATATTTAATTTTTTGGATCTAGAAAAAGAGTTGAACAATGCAATTTTCGTTTCTAAATTTTGATTACGTTTCGAAATGAGAATAATCTCTCGTGGTAATTGTAATAAAATATATGTACGATTATTGGAAAAAAATTTATTGTAATAATCATGGAAAAGAGAATTGTTATAAAATTCTTATTATAATTATTTACGTAAATAAGATTTACGTTAATTCTCATTTGATCATTTTTTAATTTGTTCAATTTGTAATCATATAACAAATTATTGTCAAATTCGAAATGTTTATTTTTTTTTTTTTGACAAAATAAATACTCGATCATTAAAAATATCTTTTGTCTATGACAAATATTGTCTTGTTAATTTTAATAAAATAAAAATTCGAGACAATTACAATTTTTGACAAATTTTTTATACACCCAAAACACGTTTGTTTGTTTCGAAAATAACAAAATTTTAACGCAATAGGAAAGGAGAGGGGAAAAAAAAATAGCAGTCACTTATACATAAGTAAAAACAAGATAAGTTTCAAAGAATATTTCTCAAATTTCAACTAACTCACCGATGATCCCTCAGGTGATCCTGCCTTCGAAACGCTTTCCCGCAAATGTCACAAGAGTAAGGCCTCTCGTCCGTGTGTGTCCTCTCGTGTATCAGCAGATTATAGCTCTTGGTGAATTGTCTGTTGCAAAATTTGCATATGAACTGTTTCTTCGGTCTCTGGCCGGGCAGCCTTCTGGTTAGAAACGAGGCGGGGGGTGGGACCGGGAGCGCCGGATGCACAGCTTGATGATGATGACCGTGGTGATGATAATGATGCGAGGTCGGAGACTGGGGGCAACAACCCCTGACAGCCAGCAACGCGGCATCTCTCAGCCAATTGTTGAGGAACGCGGTCTGATAGCCAACGTTTTGCCCTCCGTTCGAATGCTGCTGGCCAAATCGTGCGAAATGTTGGCTCGATCTTAACCACCTCGACGTGTGCAACTGTTGATGCATCGTCGACCTGTCCATCATAGGCGGTGTGTGCGGCGGTGTCAACGGTTCCATCTTCGTCTCCATAATCTCACAACAACAATCCCTCTGGATACACCTCGAGAAACCGAGAGGCCTTTCCTCCTTCTCACGATCTTTCCACGATCAAAATGATGATTCCACACTTGGGACAACTTGCTCGGTCCGGGAAAAACTACTCGACTCTTGTGCACATCTATCCGAACGTATCCGGTGTTTGTTGTACGAGGAGAGAGAGAAGAGGAGGAAAAAGAGGGAAAAAAAAAAAGAGGATCGAGGTCCTCGTTTCACTCTCTTCTTCTTCCGGGTTGGAAGGAAAGGAGTGGAGCGGAGAGAAAAAAAAAAGAAGACAACGCTGGCTCGAGAGTCGGCGCGGTACTAAATGGCAACAGACTAGTCTCGGAGGTTCCAGGATCGTGGGTTACCTGGCGCCAAGGGGACACGGTGGCTCCTCCTACCGTACGTTGGATATGCCGGTTGGCGGCTCGACTTCCACAGGGGCGGAGCTTCCGGGTCAGAGTAGACCCCTCCGGGCGTCGCGACGCTGACGTCCACACCGCACGTCCCCTCGACGCGGAGAGGAAAGAAGAGCGGATATACACCACCGCCACCGGGCTCCCTTGCCGCTTCAAGCTGCCGCTTTTACGCTCCGGGGATAATGCCGCGCTTCCCTCCCCCGCCACCAACGTAATCGCTGCCACGTTAATTGGCCGTTAATGCGATTAAAGGGTTTCGAAACGAAAGGTAATGCTGCGAATTGTCTTGCCATTTTGTCGGTGAGCGCGATTCCAATAGTATTTGTCTCTCTTCGCGTATTCATGCGTTTTATATATATTTAAGAATTTGCTTCTTATCGATTGTTTTATTATTATTGTTGTTGTTGTTGTAGGGTAAGTGTTTACTCTTTCTTCGAATCGCGGAAATGTTTCGCGTGATAATTATATACGAGAAGTTTGCCAAGTTACTTGTTTACTCAGTTGTAATATCCAAGCTTGATCTTTGCTGAAGAGATTGCGAAGAGAAAAAAAAGGATAATGAAAAATGGAGAGAGAAGATGATTAAGAAGAATATTTGATTCTGTAATTAAATATATATATATATATATGTAGGAATAGGAAAGGAAAAATGTATGGGAATGTCGATTGATTTTTACGAAATTTATATATAATATAATTGTCATGAAAATTGTTTGTGATACTTGTTTCTTTTTTATTTATTTATCATCGTTCGTGTTAAAGGAACGATTTTTATCTTTAAAATAGGGGATGCTATAATCGTATTTGATCAAATATTTCATTATATTAAAGTTATAGATGTATTAATATAATAACAAATTAATACTTTCAAAGTTATAAATAATTTATTCTTTTCGAGAATTAATTTTTGGTATATTATGTATGTATTGAAATGTATCGAAATGTCGATCGATTTTTATAAATTTATAATATAATTGTCATAAAAATATTTGTGATACTTATTTCTTTTTTATTATTAAAAATAATGAATAAATTTATTTAAAACAGGGGTTTGATATTTTGCCAAATATTTTATAAGTTATGGATGTATTAATATAATACAACAAATGAATACTTTCAAAGTTATAATTAATTTTTTCTTTATTCTTTTCGAGAATTAATTTTTGGTATGTTATCGTATAAAAAAATCCTGTTTCATTCATTTTTATTGAATAGATATAAATTTTCTACTTCGATATTTATTTTGGAAAAGTCATATCTTAACTTAAATAATATCGTTAAAAATTTTTAAACGCTCTTTTCGAGGTTTTGCACGCGTTTTAACGAGGAGTTTATTCGTTACAACAATTCATCAGAGCGCGGATCGAACGTGGATGGCGTGGAAAAATACTGCGAAAAAATTCGAACGAGAGACACGCGTTTTTGGCGTCGAAAAACGCTGCACGCATTGATTGAAAACGAAATTACATTGTCAAGCATTTATAATTCTGCATGTAAATTCACACGCGGCTACTTGTTTTATAGTTTTCATCCTCGCTTACCATTTTACATCTATTTTCTTTTTTAATCGATATTAGCCTAAAATATTTCGTGATAAAATATATATAACAACGTAACGTGATAAAATGACGCGTATTTACATTTTAAAATTCAAAATGATTCGATCGAATTTCCAGGATATATTTTTACATATTATACTTGAAATAAAATAGGAAATTAATAAATATGAACAAAAATAAAATTTAATGCGTTTACTAATATATTAAGTATCGAGACCCTTTAAAGAGGTTTTAAAATTTATTAAAAGGAAAATTGAAGACTTTCATGGTGGTAAGTGATATTATGATAAGTAGCTTTTTTGAATTTTGCTTCTTTTATAAATCTTTTGTAAAGAATTTTTAAAGGTTTATAATTTATCTAAAGTATTATCTAAAGTACACTATTCTGCAGATTAAAATTAAGTGATTTATGATTATTCGAAAATATAAAGGGATAAGTATTATTATTCGTTATCCCTTTTTACCTTCTTACTTCTACTGAATACTTACTATTACTTG